GATCAAACACGAACTGGGGTCTACTCAGATCTTTTAATAGTGCATTGACAGACTGGAATTCCCTCCCAGAAGACATGAGATGTCTACCCTATGATGCTTTTAAAAATTCATTGCTTAAATATTTTGAATTTTAATAGGTTCCGTTAGTGTGTCATCTCTTGCACATCGATTTTATTATTTTCTGTTCATGTCATATTTTAGATGTTTCATATTTTAGATATTTCATATTTCATATTTCAACCGTGAGTTTTTACTTATTAATTACGTGATTACTTATTTTATACATTGTTAATTTTGAGGCCCTCACTGAAAACCGTTATGGCGAGCTGGGCTCCCTCTTTAAATATTTTTTTAAATAAATAAATGAACAGGATGTCGGCAGAGCCTTTTTTCCTTTTCGATTCGAGGACGGGTTAAAAAGGCTCTGCTCGCAGGGTAATTGGTGTGAAGGTCGATCACCAATCAGATGTGAATCGGTCGCCGCCGTTTTCCCGCGCTTCGTGCGGTCCTTTTCTTCAGTGAGTTGTCATTGACTCCTTGTTGCATTTCCTTTGTTTTGAATGGCTGCTGTAATGGATAGTTCATTCGGGCTTTACTGTCATCAACTTAGACGCGTTATAGTTGACCACTAAATTTTCTCCGATTCGTATTGGTTTAAAATGATCAGCTGACGCGATAGTGTTCATCCGTGGAGACTATCAGCCCATAGTGCCCGTCCGCGGAAAATACCCGGATGGATAGTACTCATCCGTGAAATATTTTGAATGGTTTGACGGCCGCGAAATTAGGCAGATCTGAAAAACAGCGATTTTTCAATTCTGACAGATATAACGTATTTTCTAGCCAATGTACGGTTGCGAATTATTGACATTTGTGACAGGCTGTACTCATGAAGAAATATTTGACTGATATGCATTTAATGAGTTTTGACTGTTTTTCGACTGGCGCGCGGAAGAAAATTTAGTGGTGAAAAATAAAGACAAAAGAGTGTTTATGTCTCGGTACTATCGGTCTGATTGTTGCCCCTTGGAAATTTGATGTTCTTAAAACTAGCATATTTGTTTTAAGAACATCAAACTTCCGCGGGGCAACTATCTCGGC